AGCAGCCTCAGTAAGTCTGAAAGTGTCCTCAACAGTAACCAGCAGCCTCAGTAAGTCTGAAAGTGCCACAAAAGTGTCTTTAACAATGTTGTCAAAAGCAGACAATAACAATTATTATACCTTCTGTTAAAATCTCGTAATCTGATTGGTTGAGAAAGATGTGAACATTTTCAATGTTACTTGCTCGTTTTACAAAGATAAAGAAGACAGCCTGTGTTATTCCAAAAAATAGGACATGCGCCAAACGTATGCATGCACGGTTCGTCCCAGTGCCAGGGTGTTATTCCAAAAAATATGACATGCGCCAAACGGATGCGTGCACAGTTCGTCCCAGTGCCAGTGTGTTATTCCAAAAATTGTTACATGCACCGAATGTATGTGCCCCTGGTTCATCCCAGTGAAAACTTTTTTAAAACGTTTGTCGACCTTTAAAAATGGTGAAGTGGTGAAACACCTAAGCATGACACTCGATATAATAAAATAAAAATCACAATCATGAGAGGGCCATATTGCATATTTTCACCCCAAGTAATCATTGTTGACCGAGGCGAAGCCGAGGTCAACAATGCTTTCCGAGGGGAGAAAATATGCAATATCGCCCTCTCATGAATGTGATATTTATATAATGTTACATAAAGAGTCAAGGTTATAAAAAAAATCAAGCTGAAAAGATAATTTTACTATAATAATTCTATTATCTGACTCTATGAAAAGCAACATCTTCTAAGCTAGTGGTATTATTTTTATTACAGACAAAAGTTTGATGCCATGTTGCAGTCTCTAACCCTGAATGTGACCGATGTACAGATCGTGACCTTGAACAATTTCATGCAGAATTTCCCCATGCCGACGACCTCCACCAGTAGCATAGATGCTATGGATGTTCCTCCTCCTCAACCGGTAACAGTCTAAAGGGAGTTTACTCTGTAATAATTAATCATTGTATGGATGTTCCTCCTCCTCCTCCTCTTCCTCCTCCTCCTCCTCCTCCTCCTCAACCGGTAACAGTCTAAAGGGAGATTACTCTGTAATGATTAGCTGAATTGGTGATGTTATGTCTGTTTGATCAGGAATGATGATGACAGATCCTTTCTTTAGATTTCACACGTGAATTGTTAATGCATATTCATCTTAGTTTGAACACTTGAGAAAATTTAATATTCAGAAAGGTTTAATATACAGTCAAACTTTTATAAATCGACCTTCAAAGATTTAAAGTTCTTGGTATGTTAAACTTACGGCAAAGTCTGTTTTTTCCCCCCTTATATAACACTACTGATATTCGGTTTATGAATCAAACTTTTATGAGTCAAATTTCTTGCTTTTTCGAAATATAATCAAGGTCTGTTTGTTATGAAAACATTGAAAATTACAACTTATAAATCATGGTGAAATAAAACGCCTTTACATGAAATGTAAATATAGGCTAATGTTAAAGACAATAGTATGCAGGTCTCTTGTTTAAGTTACTGGTACATGTCATTATTAACATACTTGTGGGCCTTTAGAACGATAAATTGATGACAATTAAATTTCTTTTTCGTCTCTCGAAATCATTACAACAATAAAGCTGTGATGTTTGAAATAGTTCATCATTTTGAATCAAAGTCCTGATGTTTCCCATTTTTCCTGATGGTCCTTCAAAGTTCAAAATATTGAAGTTTTACTGTATGTTATTTCTGTTGCACATTTCATGGGTTTCAATTTACAAAGAAATACAGTATATAATATAGGGAGGGTACATGAATCTGTTTCTCACTTACCAGTGCTTTGTATAAAGGAAAATCATTTACATAACAGGGAGAAAGTTACAATATTCTGTTTCTCATTTACCAGTGTTGTGTATATAGGAAAATCATGTAGACAACAGGGAGAAAGTTACAAGATTAAATATTCTGTTTATCATTTACCAGTGCTTTGTACATAGGAATATCATGTACATATCAGGGAGAAAGTTACAAGATTCTGTTTCTCATTTACCAGTGCTGTGTATATAGGAACATCATGTACGTATCAGGGAGAAAGTTACAAGAGTTTAATTTGTTGCACACTTTGTAGGACTGGAAACACATTCAGATGGAGATGAATGCAAAACAGTTAAGGAGGATGCGGAGGACTATCCTTAGTCGGCTCACCATAGACCTGGCTGAGCCTATCTCAGAAGAGTCCCTCTCCGAAGTCTCTCACAGTACACTAGACAGCGTCCAGCCAGGACACAGGCAGAGCATAGGTATGTAGAAAAAACACACACATGGCTATCAAAACTCCCTCATTAGAAGGGAGACTCTCTCATTTTGACCAAAATTTACACATCTCCCTTGAAACTCCCTCATCCAAGTCGAAACTCACACAAACTCTAAATCTAGCAAATGAAATGAATGCTTTCAAATTTGACGGAATTATTATGGTATGGGGTCATCCGTCCGTCCGGCGTAAACTTTTGTTTGTTCGGCAATCACCTCCTACAATTTTCGACCGATCTTTTTGAAACTTGGTATACATTATAATCTTGATATGAAGTTGTGTCTCCCTTAACAGAATTATGATTCGACGATTTTTGCAAAAGTTATTGCCCTTTGTTCATTTCAGTATTTGAATTTTTGTCCGGCAATCTCCTCCTACATTTTTCAACGGATCTCTTTGAAACTTGGTATACATTATAATCATGATATGAAGTTGTATCTCCTTTAAAAAGAATTTTAATTCGACGATTTTTGCAAAAGTAATTGCCCTTTGTTCATTTCAATATTTGTTTTTTTGTCTGGAGATTTTCTCCTACATTTTTATGGGATGATGCGGCGTCCGGCGTCTGTTTTTGTCTGTCGTCCATCGTCCGTGTCAATTTTTTTATTTTAAACAACTTCTTCTTAATAACCGCAAGGCCTAGGGAGATGATATTTGGCCAGAAACAAACTGGGATGATACATAAAAAGGGAAAGATAAATTGAGCAGAGCAGTTTCAGTCACATTTCACGCACTTTCTCCCTTATTGGAAATGTGGAATGAGGGATATCTCCCTCATTGGAAATGTGGAATGAGGAAGATCTCCCTCATTGGAAATGTGGAATGAGGAAGATCTCCCTCATTGGAAATGTGGAATGAGGGAGATCTCCCTCATTGGAGGTTTTACAGGTTGACAACCATGTGACAGTGGAAAATTGATCATGAAACTCCCTCATTCAAGTCGAAACTCACACAAACTCTAAATCTTCATCCTGTGGTCAAATGATCTAGTTACTGCAGGGTGTGTGTAATGATCATAACAGGTGTGTTTGAATGAAATTAATGTTTTTTTGAGTTATTTTGATACATAAAAAGGGAAAGATAAATTGAGCAGAGCAGTTTCGGTCACATTTCACGCACTTTCTCCCTCAATGGAAATGTGGAATGAGGGAGATCTCCCTCATTGGAAATGTGGAATGAGGGAGATCTCCCTCATTGGAAATGTGGAATGAGGGGAGATCTCCCTCATTGGAGGTTTCACAGATTGACACCTATGCATACATAGGTACTGTTATAGACAAATGCTTCTGTGCCCCTCCCACTCATCTTGTACAGTATCTCATATGATATAATCTTCGAATATCTTTGTAGAGCCCGATACAGACACATATTACTCGGCCTCCGATGACTCTGAAGACGAAATGGACAAATGGTCAAGGTATGCATTGAGTGATTTTGATTATAATATCAATTTTTTCTTACCTCAACCACATTGTGAATGTTATGATCTATGAAATAAGGGGTTAGTTTACATTCTGATTGGAATTGTTTGTATTTTACGGCCTTAAATATAACAAAAGGTATACTGTTGTTATTTATGTTGGAAGGCAAGTGTTATATTGGTTCACCTCACCTGTGGACTGTTATTGTGACTGTCTGTGTTTAATACCAGTCAACTTGTATTGAGAAACCACCATCAGGAAGTCTACCAAGTGGTCTGTTATTGTAGGCGGTCTCTTACTACAGGTTCAGGTAACATGATAATAACCTCACCTAGCTCTCTGTGTTACCAGTCAACTTGTATTGAGAAACCACCATCAGGAAGTCTAAAAAGTGGTCTGTTATTGTAGGTGGTCTCTCTGGAGTAGGTTTAACTGAAGTATTGATCAGTTCAATTTAAATAAAAAAAATATTGTCGTACCTGGCATCTGGAAAATATCTGTCCACATACTATATATACAATACAGCATTCATCTGATAGATAGTTTCAAACTTCAGACAGTTTATGAAACTTCCCTTGGAGGTCCTAGCAACAGCATGACAACAAAACAACCAAAATATAGAATGATCCATTTTCAAAAATAAGTTTTTGGAATATTACACGTAATTTGTTATTATCATTTATTTTCATTGACTTATTTCATCTTTAACATGAATGCAATAATGGGTCCAAGCATACAGAATGTAGATATCCTGGAATAAATATTTATATTTATTTGACAATGAATTAAAAGACACACATAAAATGTACATTATGTACATTATTGTAACTTTGAGAATTTCATCATGTTTTGGTTAAAGTACATTTTCGACCTTACAGTATACAAATGTGTTCAATATTTTTGTTTAATTGGAAATGTTCATCCTAGGAACAATGAACAGAACAGGTGACATGATGAAATTGTGATGATCGCAGATCGAACCCTTAAAATTGACCAAGCAATGTGAATTAAGCCCGTATGTTACCTACCTACCAACATAAATAACACATTTATCAGCAATTTTGTGGTTCAAGATTGTTGGTATTTGGAAAACCTAAGAAATAAACAGAAAATATAGGGAACCTTCTCATAGACAATTTGGAAATGCTGATGATAATGTGAGTTGCTTCCCTTTAATGGTTATATCATATAGGGAACAGGAGCCATGGAAGAGAAGAGTCAATAACTTTTATAGATATGTCGCAAAAAGATAACTGATATAGCTGTATGAATTTAGATGATCAATTGGACAAGCTCCAAATGAAGAGAGTATGATCTCAGATTACAAACTGAAGATATTTAGTATTGCATGGATCTCCCCGATGTTTTGAGTTGTGATTTTGATTTTAACACTATGACAGGTTTTTGTTGGCGAGGTATGTAAACGGCCGTCTGCTTTAGTAATCAAAGGCTGATAAATCTCCAATTTTCTTGATTTATCTTAGAATTTTTATAATGCTTTAAATGGTATATACATACACAATATGATTTCTTAAATGTTGTTTCAGCCTACTTGGTAATTTTATGGTATTTCTGTTAAAATTCAACATAACAAACTGCTTACATTTTTTTTGTCTTTTTTTTGTTTTATCACGATCAGGAATTTATTAAATAGTATATTTCAACACCAGCATTTTATTGCTTGAACACTTTGATTTGCCTTGTTGAATAATCTCGATTTTCTCGAAAAAATGTTGATATATTTAATTGATCTTTTTATCCAATAAACTATGAAGTAAACATACAGTTTTAGTCTAAACACTTAAGCTTTCTATGGAGATTACTGGATTCCGATTCCTGAAAACTTTTGTTGGTGGCTCAAAACTGTAGGCAAATATTTTTAATGTTTGTTTTGATTTTTGCTTCAGTTTTATTTCAATTGACACATGTTGAAACAGTGTCAACACACCACATCATCTTTAATTTGTTGTAAGATCTCTTTTAATCTAAAAAGTGAATTTGGCTTAAAATCTCAGCAAATTTTTCAAAAAAAAAGACTTTAATCTGTACGTTCATACTTGCATGAACTCTGTTGCACTTATTGGTTCTGTTCATACTTGATTCAATGCATATCAATATTAACACACTACCTGGTATTGTTTTTCTACAGACGCTTGTCGAGACATGTTCCGAGTTTATCTGGCTATTGCCGTGCTTGCTTATTCACTATCAAACATATATGCATGTAATTTCAAGGCGAAAATTATTGAAAGTTCTAGAAGGTTCTGTTCAATGGTAAATGTTCAATGGTAAATGCTATCATGTAGAGTTTATATGATTCGCTTCATGATCAGGAAACAACACCACCTTCATATCTCCCTTCTACTGGGACAGGAGATTATATATTATTCCTAAAAAGAAACCACTTGTGGAGAGAAGACATATTTTTCATGATTTCTTTTATTTTTGTTGTAAAAAGGTGACATTTCTCCAAGGAATATTAATTCTAGAAACATCAAATGTAAAACTTCGGATGGAGGAATGGATTGCCGGGAGATATGATGTTTTATCTCCCTATCATGGGATCTGTTTAAATGAATAAAACACACTTTAAAAAAATAGATAAGTGATACATGTTATGATCAAAATAGCTGTAGTGGTGTGTTTCTGAAATTGAATGCCAAGTGATACCATTTCCTTTGGTAGTGTGGATAGTTTAGTCCAGTATGTACATAATGGAATATTTCAGTTTTTGTAAGTCTAATGTTGGTGTTTACAAAGCTTATGACAATTTTTAGAGCAATATTGATTTGATGTGCAAAATAACTGTACATTTAGGTATCAATTTAACAATCTCATGTTCATTTTGTTTTTTAATTATTTGAAGTTTAAAGATATTTGATGAAGTTTGAATTAGTTAGAATTATTTTTGAGTATGTACTTTTGACCTTCTTTGACCCAAATATCACTGCTGAGAACTCTAATGTGCATAGGTTGCTTTCAACACCAGCATGTTGAAGTCAAAAGCACTGAATGCATGTGATCGAATGTTTACTAATACATCTCTTAATGATTTAACAACACGATTCAAGATAAACCCATGCTCATTAATTAGCCAAAAGCAAACTGGGATGAAGGGCTATCAAGTTTGTTCAAATAAATGACCTTCACCCATATTCAAGGTCACAGGTGTCAAATATGTTAAAAACTTTAAACAGAATGTTGAAATTTGGTCAGTACAATGTAGCATGCTAGGATGAAGGGCTACTAAATTTGTTCCAATGAATGACCTTGATTTGTATTCAATGTCACAGGGGTCAAATATGTTTTTAATCTTTAAAATACTTCTTCTGAATAACCAAAAGGCTGTGGATGTTGATATTTGGCCAAAAGAATGCTAAAATAAAGGTCTACCAAGTTTGTTCAAGTGAATGACCTTAACATTTATTCAAGGTCACAGGGATCAAATATGCTCAAAATCTTTAAAAGACTTCTTCTGATTCACCATAAGGCCCAGGGTGTTGATATATGGTTAGTAGCATGCTTGGATGAAGGGCTAGGAAACTTTTTCATTTGAATGACCTTGACCCACTTTCAAGATCACATTTAGTCAAATATATATAAACATGTAAATGACCTAATCTCAATAAAGAAATTAAGGTCTAGGGTGATGATATTTTGCAAGTTGCATGCTGAGATGAATGTCTATAAATTTTGTTCAACGTAATGACCTTGTTTGACTTTCAAGGTCACAGAGGTCAAATGTTTTTAAATGTTTTAACAGGTTTTTTTAGCTCACCTGGTCCGAAGGACCATAGTGAGCTTATGCCGTGACGCAGCGTCCGTCGTCAACTTTTTTTTTAAAACCTATCTCCTCCTAAACGCCAAAGAGGATTTCAACCAAATTTAGTCTGAAGCATCACTAGAGGAGGGCAATCATTTCTTAAATAAGTGAGGTTGGTTCGATCCCTGAGGCCAGGGGGGCGGGGCCCTGAAGAGGAACTTAGCTAAATTTGCTTTAAAATGCATCTCCTGCTAAACGCCAGAGAGGATTTCAACCAAATTTAGTCTGAAGCATCAGTAGGGAAGGGCAATCATTTCTTAAATAAATGAGGTTGGTTCGACCCCTGAGGCCAGGGGGCAGGGCCCTGAAGGGGATCTTAGCTAATTTGCTTTAAAACACATCTCCTCCTAAACGCCAGAGAGGATTTCAACCAATTTCAGTCTGAAGCATCACTAGGGGAGGGCAATCATTTCTTGAATAAATGAAGTTGGTTCGACCCCAGAGGCCAGGGGCGGGGGAGGGGGCAGGGCCCTGAAGGGGAACCTAGCTAAATTTGCTTTAAAACGCATCTCCTGCTAAACAGCAGAGAAGATTTCAACCAAATTTGCTCTGAAACTTCATTGGGGGAGGGCAATCATTTCCTAAATAAATGAGACTGATTTGACACCTGGGGCTAGGAAGACTGGGCCCCAAACAGGAAAATTATCTAATATTTTGCTTTAAGACGCTAATACCCCCTAATTGCCTGAGTGGATTGTACAAAATTTGGCCATAAACATTATTGAGGAAGAACAAACATTTCTTAATTGAATGAGGTTGATTTGACCCCTGCGGTCATAAGAAATGGTACAGCTAGATTATCATATTCTATGGTGTAGTTTTCATAAATTGTTAAAAATTGGTTTCTGGGTTTATAAAAGCGTATAGTTAAATAGTTAAAGTATTGTCTAATTACGCCCTGTAATATGACATATTACTTATTTCAAAATCTGTTAACATGGCAACTCAATGGAGGCCCCTGATTAGTTGAAAGTTAGATATTGTGGTCCCAGTTGGGTTAGAACATAGATCTTGTCTGGTTTTTAGGAAATTTCCTATAAAGATGTACTAATGCATTCAGTTGTAATGGCTTATATATAAAACCATGTAAGCGATACAGGTCCAATGGACCTCTTGTTTGAATTACTTATAGTCATGAATACTGCTTTTTGCCTGTAGCTTTATTTTAGATCACTTTTAAAAATACATTTTGTGTGAGATTAATACCAGGTGAGCGATGCAGGCCCAATGGACCTCTTGTTTGAATGACTTATAGTCATGAATACTGCTTTTTTGCCTGTAGCTTTATTTTAGATCACTTTTAAGAACACATTTTGTGTGAGATTAATACCAGGTGAGCGATGCAGGCCCAATGGACCTCTTGTTGATAGTAAAATGGAGCTTCTACAAATCATGTCAATAGGTCATCAATATGAGATGTAAGGTGCCCCAAGTATTTATAGTTCACCTGTCAATAGGTCATCAATATGAGATGTAAGGTGCCCCCAGTATTTATAGTTCACCTGTCAATAGGTCATCAATATGAGATGTAAGGTGCCCCCAGTATTTATAGTTCACCTGTCAATAGGTCATCAATATGAGATGTAAGGTGCCCCCAGTATTTATAGTTCACCTGTCAATAGGTCATCAATATGAGATGTAAGGTGCCCCCAGTATTTATAGTTCACCTGTCAATAGGTCATCAATATGAGATGTAAGGTGCCCCCAGTATTTATAGTTCACCTGTCAATAGGTCATCAATATGAGATGTAAGGTGCCCCCAGTATTTATAGTTCACCTGTCAATAGGTCATCAATATGAGATGTAAGGTGCCCCCAGTATTTATAGTTCACCTGTCAATAGGTCATCAATATGAGATGTAAGGTGCCCCCAGTATTTATAGTTCACCTGTCAATAGGTCATCAATATGAGATGTAAGGTGCCCCCAGTATTTATAGTTCACCTGTCAATAGGTCATCAATATGAGATGTAAGGTGCCCCCAGTATTTATAGTTCACCTGTCAATAGGTCATCAATATGAGATGTAAGGTGCCCCCAGTATTTATAGTTCACCTGTCAATAGGTCATCAATATGAGATGTAAGGTGCCCCCAGTATTTATAGTTCACCTGTCAATAGGTCATCAATATGAGATGTAAGGTGCCCCCAGTATTTATAGTTCACCTGTCAATAGGTCATCAATATGAGATGTAAGGTGCCCCCAGTATTTATAGTTCACCTGTCAATAGGTCATCAATATGAGATGTAAGGTGCCCCCAGTATTTAAAGTTCACCTGCACTGACAACCACTATCTGATTAATTACTAAATCTCAAGAAATTATTAGCCGATTTAATGAACTAGACATGCTACTTGCATGGTCATCTTGAAAATAAGTGACACCCCTTTCTAATGGCTATCTGCCTGCCCTCTAACCCCTGAATGTATTACAAAATAACTTGAATTTTGTGATGAGAACGTTCAATAGTACATGTATATAAATCTTTGCTAACATTTCTACTGTTATCATGAAAGCATGTCACAGCTTTGATAATACCTACCCTCATTGTTGTATATCTGTTTTTCACTTTTGAATTTTGTTGTTTAGTAATGTATTTATGCCTCAGATGGTGTTTAAACATTTCAGTTACCGTAAAGTGAAGTCTGTCGATGACTATATTACGGAGAACAACCGCATGCAGATGTTCATGCGGGCTTCCATCGGCGAGATCGTCATACAGGTATCGTTGGAGCAGAACCGACAGCGACGGGAATATCTTATGTTCCGTCTGGATGGATTCACGGCCGACATGGCTTACACGGTGTGGATCAGTAAGAACAAAGTTATTCCGTGTGGAGTTGCTTTCCATGCCAGACTACGAGGGATTGGAATGGCAGACAAACTTCATAGAGGTAATGGAATGGAATATTTTCATTTACAAGGTAACATATAAAAATGATATGTGAATTTGATTATCCTATCCTGCCCTTCTCTTAAACAATTACACATTAATTTCTACCATTTAGCTATGGCTCAATCTGTATTACCGCATTTCATGTGTCGTTAAGTCTTCATCAGATTATAAATGACTCCAGGCTTTTAGATTACAAAATTTTATGTTTTATAGTACTTGCAGAACTGGAGTGAAAGACTTTTGAAAATTTTGTCCATTTACCCCATTTTTTGTCCCCTTGATCCCCATGGTCTTCCAATTATCACAGTTTTGCGTCCACATCTCAAGTTGTTCTTAAAGAATAGGTAAAATGTTCCTGATGAGATTACAGAACAGAAAAGTTAATTATTTTTACTTTATTGTGTGATTGTGAGCATGTTCAGACCTGACACACTTATTGTAACAGTTATAAGGTTATGAAATGAAAATTAGTAATTAAGCTTTAAGGGCCCGCTTGTTAAAAAGGAATATCCTGCCATGAAAAAATCACATTAAAAGCAGATTATTTGTTTTCAGTTTTGATGAGAATATTCACAGACATTTTTTAAGCAAGCATGTACAATGAAACCTCATTACACTGCTGCCATTTGGAGAAAAATGGCATTATATCAAGGTTTTACTATATAGTGACAAATGAGGGGCATTATATCAAGGTTTTACTGTATAGTGACAAATGAGGGGCATTATATCAAGGTTTTACTGTATAGTGACAAATGGGTCATTTTATCAAGGTTTTACTATATAGTGACAAATGAGGGGCATTATATCAAGGTTTTAATGTATAGTGACAAATCAACGCATTATATCAAGGTTATACTGTATAGTGACAGATGAAAGGCATTATATCGAGGTTTTAATGTATAGTGACAAATGGGTCATTTTATCAAGGTTTTACTGTTTAGTGACAAATGAGGAGCATTATATCAAGGTTTTACTGAATAGTGACAAATGGGTCATTTTATCAAGGTTTTACTATATAGTGACAAATGAAAGGCATTATATCGAGGTTTTAATGTATAGTGACAAATGGGTCATTTTATCAAGGTTTTACTTTATAGTGACAAATGAGGGTCATTATATCAAGGTTATACTGTATAGTGACAGATGAAAGGCATTATATCAAGGTTATACTGTATAGTGACAAATGAGGGGCATTATATCAAGGTTTTACTGTTTATTTACCAAACAACTTTAGCTGTAAAATAAGTCATCTGTTTCTTTCCATGATCTACAGGTGCTACTGGTGCGTACCTGGATCTGTTACAGACAGAATCGGAGAATGAACTGATCTCCATCAGTTACAGACAGGTAATGTGGACAGGTTAATTACACCTGGTGATCACAATTGATTACAAAACATTAAACCAGTTGATTTGTTTAATTTCTCTTAATTTTCAACAACAAAAATATTGATGTTTGATGGGGGCTGGTTACAGTGTGTGATATTCGAGATAGGTAACGAACATCACATGTTACATAAAGTCATAAAATACATTAAACTGCTTTCTTTTCCCTAGTGTTGGGAATCGCTTGTAAATTCATACTCGATCATCACTTCCAATCAAGTGACTGATGATCGACTAATGATCGATCAAATTGAACTTAAATTCAGTCATTTAAGGTTATATTCGCTTTCCGAAATCTCCTTTCACTTACGTTAACGGGGAAACTCCGACGTTAGATAATTTTGCTAATAACACACAACATTCATACAAAAAACAATAAGTTTGTTGACAGAATATAATTAAGGTTATAAGTTTGTTGACAGAATATAATTAAGGTTATATTCACTTTCCGAAATCTCCTTTCACTTTCGTTAACGGGGAAACCCAGACATTAGAGAATTTCACTAATAACACACAACATTCATACAAAAAACAATAAGTTTGTTGACAGAACCTTATAATTATTGAAAAATATGTATTTGGAAATGAAATTGATGATGTTTGCAATGTCAACTATGCTGCGACAGCTGCATCTCGTATCCATTCAGAAATGCTGCGATGGATTGATATTCACCTGATGAGCGACACCCAATCACACTTAACATTTTATTTGTAAGATAGCCCACACTTTCGACAAAGCGTTTTATTTATATACAGCTAAGGACAAACAATACCTTCCAAATGTTAAAAACAGTAGCCCCCGGATGATCATAGAGTTTATTCTCCGGAATGTCCTGGTTTGCCATATTGTCACGCACTGTCTGAGCCATGCAGCATTTCTATTGAAACACAAGTTCTGATTGGTTGTCGGGTGGAGCGGCTATCAGTAATTCACTCCCTGCTTTTTGTAGGTAAAACCGGAGTGTCCCGACTTTGGGCCAGTGTTCAAGAACATAGAGCATGGTGCGACCTTAACCTTCAATAACTTGTCAATCATGTTTGACCAGACTGGAGTGTGTTATCTCAAGAAATTTCTGGAGGATCTGCAGACGAGGTAAAATTTTCTTCTGGTTCATTATGAAAGTGGTTTAGATTAATCTTCAGTAAATTGTAAAAAGGTTCAGTTGTCATTCTGTGTCACAGATAATACAGCCAGTCAAAGCTAAATTGAACAAGTAAAAAGGATGTCTTTTAGCAGTCTTTAGACTTCGTGTAAAATGGTGAATCTGTTTAAAAAAATATAGACATCCAGTCCTTCTGGATTCAAGGACTGTGTAGATAATCGTTTTCTTTTGTATTAAAATTTGCAAATTTTATCTGGAACTCAGTTGTAAGGTTCAAATATCTCATTCACTGATTTGCATTTGTTTACAGGTAACAATTGACTTTGTTTCTGCTCATGAACTTGAATTTGGGAATTGCTGCGTTCACAAAATTCACAGAATTACTTTGCTTATAAGCTTTACATATATATATACAATGAAACAAGCATCACCCAGAGCCTCGGATAAACCGGTTACACATGGGTGCCATGTGTGATGAGATCTTCTAGCTTGGCATCAAAAGTAAAAAAAAATCAAAAAAAATCACAAGGCCTGAAACAAGCCAGAAATTATTTTAAAATGTCTTTTTTCAGGTATATGGTTTGTTCATGTTTTGGTTTAAGATATGAAATATATATATATTTTTTTATGACTTGTTGACAATGAACAGTGATAATATGCTAAAAGTAACTGTTTGTCTGCTATTTCTGACAGAATGTACCCAAAGAAGGATACACTTGAGGACAATCCCTTCGCGATGCGGTCTTCCAGGACTGACTCTTCCATAATGAGGCTCCGAAGTAAACGCGGGAGTCGGAGTAGTCGAGCCAGCGTTACTGATAAGATCAAATCGATCGTCCATGAAAGTATGCTAGTCCATTTGTAAACAGAATATTACTGGCTGCCACCTGTCTTAATTTTATTACATTTCTACCCATGATTTATTGAATAAAAAAAATGTTTCAAAATCACTGAAATGTAAAACTGTGCTTCAATATGTTTTGAAATGTAGCCATTTGATTCTGAACGTGATGGCTAGTAGCACGCAAATTATCCCATGTGGCATTTAGAACAACGAAAATCACCAAGAAATGTTTTCATCTATGTTCTAAAACAAATTATTAACCAGCATTTAGGATATTTTATTTTCTTTGCATATCTTGCTTTTTAGAGAGTTAAAACACTTTGAAACTCCCCAATAATGTTGAAGAAAAAATATTTAATGTTTTCACAGTGATAACTTCCGAGCTTTATCGTCAAGAGGTTTGGTGGAGATATTTTTGTGAAAGGGACAATTATGATAACCGTATTATTGCGTGTATAACTCTTTTTCTATAGTAAATGGATAAGTAAGTCATTTAAACGTTGAACACATTGGAACTCTTCTTCTTTGGATTTAATACTCAGAAAGCTGGGACTCTCAACTTAATAATTTCAGAGATGTCCTGACTGTCTACCATTCGATGTAGATATAATTAAAAATCAAGATATAAAGAATTCATCTTTTCACTCCTTGTATTTCTATTTCAGCTAGTGGTCCATCTACTCTCATCAAGATTCACATGGTTACTTGTGTACACGACATCAGCCTTCACCTGCGGAATGTGGAGACGAAATTTTCCGAACTCCATATCAAAGGTAGGCATTGTTGTGATGAAATCGCTGTATTTCAGTTTCTTAAGGCAAAAAGAAATTTTCTGAACTCCATATTACAGGCAAAATTACATGGAGTGGAAACTCCATATTACAGGCAAATTACATGGAGTGGAAACTCCATATTGAAGGTACCAGTGTTAAGGTGGAGATGAAATTCTCCGACCTCCATGTCTGCCTGTCCAGTGTAGGTTTATGATTCGTCGACTTCCATGTCTGCCTGTCCAGTGTAGGTTTATGATTCTCCGACCTCCATGTCTGCCTGTCCAGTGTAGGTTTAAGGATTCTCCGTCCTCCATGTCTGCCTGTCCAGTGTAGTTTTATGATTCTCCGACCTCCATGTCTGCCTGTCCAGTGTAGGTTTAGGATTCGTCGACCTCCATGTCTGCCTGTCCAGTGTAGGTTTATGATTCTCCGACCTCCATGTCTGCCTGTCCAGTGTAGTTTTATGATTCTCCGACCTACATGTCTGCCTGTCCAGTGTAGGTTTAGGATTCTCCAACCTCCATGTCTTCCTGTCCAGTGTAGGTTTATGATACGTCGACCTACATGTCTGCCTGTCCAGTGTAGGTTTATGATTCTCCAACCTCCATGTCTGCCTGACCGGTGTAGGTTTATGATTTTCCGACCTACATGTCTGCCTGTCCAGTGTAGGTTTATGATTCTCTGACCTCCATGTCTGCCTGTCCAGTGTAGGTTTATGATTCTTTAACCTCCATGTCTGCCTGACCAGTGTAGGTTTATGATTCTCTGACCTACATGTCTGCCTGTCTAGTGTAGGTTTATGATTTTTAAACCTCAATGTCTGCCCGTCCATTGTAGATTGTTTAACACTATTTTAGAAACAAGTGAATCAATTCATTAGTATCTCAAGGTATTTCAGTTTTTCTTCAAATCAACAATGCCAATGTGTTGTGTATTTGTACATGCCTGCAGCCTGTGCAGTAATAGTTTGATGACTATTTTCTATAATCTGCTCTTCTTTCTCAAGGTTTGGAGAGTCAGTTCATTGCGCAAGCTAAGAAGATGACATTCAACTGTCGCTTGCAGAAATTCTTCATAAAAGATCTTACTCCAGATACTCTCTATCCTAACGTAAGTTGCTAACAATTTTTGTTATCTTATCATTTTGTATGAAGGTACAGTTTAATAAAAGTATACAATATATCATAAGTACTCTTAAAACGAGGTCACTTAATAGTAACTATTATTATTATTGTAATATTTTATGTAATATTAATGTATTAAATGTATAATTATGTAATTAAATTTTAATTTCTGGAAATAGAAAACAAAATTGAATTCATATTTTACATATTGATGATATAGATCATAAACATATTTTCAGATCCTGGAGATTGGTACAGATGAAAGCCCATTCTTTGATCTGAAGGTATCCATTGTTTTGAAATTTTAGATTGAATTATTTAAACTGATATCTGCAGGGATATAATCTTTATTTCAATCTGTGAGATTTTTTTAGTTTAAGGATATTTCAATACGATATGTATTCTGCTGTAAGCCCAGGGGACCAACACATAATTACTGACTCAAAGTAAGGGGATGGGCTTATTACAGGACAAAGAAATAGCCTTTGTTATCTGTTCTACCAAGCTGCAATAGATATGGGTGGGCTTATTACCAGACATGGGCTTATTACCAGGCATATATGTTCTACTTTTATGGTTGGGCTTATTACCAGACATGGGCTTATTACCAGGCATATATGTTCTACTTATATGGTTGGGCTTATTACCAGACATAAATGTCAACTGTCAAAATGGTTGAACTTTGATACATCTTTATTCACTAGGTGGAACAGTTTAAATCTGATGGCATGACGAGACGGTTGTCGCGGCGAAGTACTGAACCTCTGGATTACTATGCCCGGTTACACATTGGCCAGCTCCAGGTGGCATTCATTAATAAGTTCTTCTGGGAAGTCACGGTAAGGAGACTTCATTCAAGGGAAGTAACTGATATTTAAATAATTTTGTTTCTGGTTGGCAAGCATATATATGGATTATAAGTTCATATAACACAACCAGTATGTTTAGATTGACGTTTCAATTAAATGTTTTGACATTTAGGAATAGTACAATATATACTTTGTCACCATGATCAGACAAATGACCTTATGTACACTTACATAATTGGGTGTTAACAAGTTACAATATGAATATTGAAATAAAAAGTTTGTGGTAATAGATATGGGAGAGTATATTGGCCCCCTCATCTCCATTCAAAACTGACTGATATTTTCTTTTTGTTACCTTTTAGTTAATAATATTGCTGAAATATTTGATATCATTGAAAATCCCTTATATTTTACAGTGGAATTCAGGTAGAAGAGTAAATTACAGATACAAGTATGTCACAAATAGGTTTTGAAATATTTCCTTTTCTCTTCCAGAGGTTTTTTGAGCCATTGAAGAGCCCAGAGTTATCAGATGCAGCTTATAAGACCAAAGAGTCTATGTCTAAACAGGTAAAAGGTTGTCAAAAGCTGTAATGATTGTCTGTTGTTCAATTTTCATGAGAATGTGTTTTTAATGTTTAATTCTTTACAGTCTATTAATTAACAAATTTGAATGGCTGCTGTAGTAGTAATGATATATTTCTACATAATATGAATCTGGGTTAGAGAGATCACCTTTTTTGTAAAAAAAAAAACACACCACTAGATACTGTGATTACCAGCACATTTTTATAGCTGAGACAATTAAACAGAGACTGAGGTGGATTCCAACAACAGGAGAAATGTTTCCTGTAACATGACACTTACACATGCTTTTCTGACTTACAAAGAGCTGTTTGGGACCCTCATAATGTTAACTCAAATTTCTAATACTGCCAGATATTCTCTAACCTTTTCAGTTGAAAAAGATGTACAAATTGTTGACCAGATATTAAAAAGTCAATATCTCGGCATGACCAGAAATGGGACTTTCATAGATTGATAACTATGTCACCTGTTTTGTAAGGCTTTATACTAGCCAAGGCTATCACCGGTTAATATGAACATTCTAGACAAAAAACACTTGGTTGCACTACCATCACATATCCCAGAAGTCCTTGTAAACATGGCATACTGTATTTAACTCACTGATATGACCTTGACCTTCAGATGGTGGAGATAACCCCTGTAACATTGCGGATCGCCCTTGTTGTCAAGGCACACATCCCCACAGTGGTCGTACCACAGCACTCGCAGTCACGTGACCTCTTCTTCGTCAAATTCGGAAACCTGGAAGTATGGAATCAGTTTGAGAGGAAGGAGGTAAAGGATACAGGAATATCACAGGAATGGAACCACTTTAGTGCCAAACTCACCTCCATGCAGATAAGCAAGTAGGTCACACTTACTACAATAATTCTTAATACCTGATGTTTCATGTTCAGAATACGTAAGATGCTTCATAGGACTAGATGGTACATTATTTGTGATTTTGTAGGATAAGATGTTACATTATTTGTGATCTCTTAAGAAAATGTGTTATGATATTTGTGATTTTGTAGGAAAAGATGACAGAATATTTGTGATTTTGTAGGGAAAGATGACAGAGTATTTGTGATTTTGTAGGAAAAGATGACAGATTATATTTGTGATTTTGTAGGAAAAGATGACAGATTAT